ACAAAAAAGAAATGTAAATGTTTAAAAACCTAATACGATGACAATAAGGTTGTGACATTACAAGAAAAAAAACAAAATGTTAGGAGAAATGCAAATGCAAAATGTAATGGTAAAACTGATATTTTGTAGAAAAACTGTAATATTACTGCATAACAATTGCAATTTTGGACTATTATGAGAAATGAAAAGTCCTAGGCTACTAGTTAAGATCGTATTTTGAGAGATGAAACAGTAGTTTTAATGTATAAAAGTACTCGTTTTAATTTTACGATACTTGAATTAAATCCAAATAATTATGAGTAAAATCATATTATGCTTCAAGAAAATCCTGAAAAGTACGAAAGAAAAATCCCAAGGATTTTATTAAAATCATATTTTGAGAAAAAAAAATGTTCATGGAATGTATAACATCCTAATCCTAATGATGATTGGATGGGTCGCTAATAGTGTAATGTTACACTCGCCTGAGTTGTGTGCGGGCAGCGTGGGATCGCTTTACACTCAGTGACGGTGTGGATGAGGGTGCGAGTGGTGGCTGATTGGCGACCAGTTCCGGGTGTAGTCCGCCTTTCTCCCGTAGTCAGCCGGTATAAGCGCCAGCACCCCTGAAACCCTGTTCAGCATAAGTGGTGTTCAAAATGGATGGATAGATAGTTAATGGCACAAAGTTGTCATGTGAAAAGAAAAAATACAAACGTTAAGACAATATAGTTGAAATATTACAAGAAATAAATTGACATGGATGAAGTTGTACTGTTGGGGCCATAGGGGTGTTATTTTTTGAGTATAAATATATCATTTTACGGTGAACGTCTTCATTTTACGAGAAACCACGATCTTATCTATCATTGTAATATTACGAACGAAAACTATCTCAAACCGAAATTGCCTTGACAAAACACTTGCTGGAGTTTTTGGTTTGACACTTGACTCGCTTTTTGGTCAACCTTTTCCTGATTAAACTCCGCCCTCTTTTGGGAAAAGCCCCAGCCAATCATGTCGCTCGCTTGCTGTTAAAGCATCGCCCACGATAGGCGGAGCTTTAAACGCCAGCCCGGGATTCCACCTCTCTCCTCGGTTTTCTTCTGCCTTTTTTTCTGCTCTCTCAAAGCTAAGAGCGGGAGAGGGCGCGACAAATGTCCATTCGTCAGAAAACACATACGCACTGTCGAAGAAAAAGGGTATTTTCTAGCCGTTTGGTGTCGCATGTCGCCTTTTGTTGTTCGACGGTGCTCGGTCGAAGCGTCGAACAAAAGGGGCTCCCTTCCGGAACAATGCGAAAGTCATACGGCGGCTACACGACGTCGGTGGCGCATTCAAAACAACAACAAGCTCATTTTGGGGGATCATTTTCTCGCACCGCGTATCGTCAAAAATGCAACAACACATTCTCCTCCCCTCTACGCACACGTCCCCTCCTCCCATTTGCAAACATGCTCCGATTGATCGCCAAAACAAAGCAGGTCGCCTCGCTTTGTGTTTGTTGATCTGCTATTATATTAAAGAAAACAAAAACCGCCATTACGGTACTATGTGGTACGCTATTCGTTGTTTGTGCACGCACACACAAAAAGCATCCAAGCATGCGATGGTCTGCCCAATACAAGCGCTCCAAATGCCGTTCGCGTCTTCACCATCAACAAGCCATGCAAAAAGTGTTCTGGTGGGTTTTTAAAATGGTTCACTTTTGGGTTACATACCCCGCACGGATAAAGAAGAAGAGACTCCGTACTCCTGATGTTATTCGTGTTTGGAACGAAATAGTTGGGGCACGCCCCCCTTCCTCTTTGACCGCCCCCCTCCCCCAGCGTTGGCATTGGCCCGCGTCACACCGCACGTCACCGGGTTTGAAGAGCAGCCGCGAAAATGCACACACAAAACAAAACATTAGGTGATATTTCAACTCAAATCTTGAGACTTTTACCTTGTCCTTTCATCAGAGTCTCAAATAATATCACGTTTTAATGGGTCGATGTAGCACGAAAGTATCAACAAACGATCGGAAAACAGTTGGAGGGCGCAACTATAGTTCATTTAAAAAATGCAATTTTACAAACAATTGTCATTTTGTGAAAACATTTTGAGAATAAAGTCAAAATAGTAAAAACCTAAATCCACATTTGATGAGTAACATTACGACAAAAACGTTGATGAGAACAGTCCTAAAAAAATCCACAAATAAAACAGCAATACAGTATTTTCTAACTCAAAGATACATTTCCAGGAACTAAATCACAATTTCGAAAGAGTCTTAATTTTAAAAGGAAAAAAAAACCCAAAGCTAAAAAGTCATAATTTTGTGAGGGAAAACAATTCAGGTTGAATTTATGAGAATAGAATTTAATAGTATACGTAAGAACATGAAACCTTATGAGACTGAACTTGTAGTCTTTCACGAATAAAGAATGATACAAACGAAACACACTGACATGATTTGTATTTATTACAGTATAGCTTGATTCAGTATTCACAAGAATAAGGTACAGTCATTGGTTATAACAAAACAAATATAAAATTAATGTCGATAACTGTATATTTCCCGTATGAAAAACAGCTGTTGAATAGCATAGAAAAATAAAAATAGGCCACATTTCGGCTTTGAAAGAAGGAAAAAAAAAAAGATATAGGACAACGGTCGACGTAAAAATGCTTCACTACAAATAAATTCAATATGAATTCTGTAGTTAACATAAAAAAAAAAACACAAAACTTGACCCAACAACGACACGGTGCATGACTCACATACAGTAATACACTATACTCTGATATTATACATACTTAGATGCTTTCAATGTGGCCAGATGAAAGCGCACATTTTACGACGACAGCCTGGAACTTAAAAGCAACACACACACACACACACACACACACACACACACACACACACACACACACACACACGCACACACACACACACACACACACACACACACACACACACACACACACACACACACACACACACATCACTTGGGACTTAAGGTAGGCACATGTATGCGTTCGGGAGACCCTTGAGGTCAATAAATGGTTTATATTTATATTATCTCTACATACATCACTGCTGACATTTCCAAGTACATTAGGGCTCTTCGTGAAAAGTGCTAAGACATGAGGTGACGTGGCGTGCGTGCATGCATGAGACACAGAATTAGGGCCACACTGAAGTTGCAGAAACATGACTATTAGAAAAGACCACAAAAAAAAAACTGTTGCGAAGTTTAAATTTGAGGAGAATGTTTGTGTTGTAGTTTTCCGAGAACGATTTTGTAATCTTTTCTGAAACTTAAGTTTGGATTAAAAAAAAAAAAAAATCATGACAATTTTGTCATTTTATGAGAATTGAGCATATTAGGAAGAACAAAGTTTAAGAGACCATAAAGTGTTGCATTTAGGTTAGTGTGGGAATTTTCATTCAATCATCATTTTAGGAGTCATTTTGTGAGGGTTGACAATCAAATCAAATATAAATTGGTAGCATTTTTTTTGTCTTTTAATTCGATTTTTTTTGGGGGGGGGTCTTGATCAAAATAGCACAAGAAGCTACAAAAAAACACAATTTTACCCAACTAACAGGATGTATTGAGGGGCAAAATACACATTTTATGAGAGCCAATTATTGTGCGAGCTATTTTTGACTACATTTGTCATATTACAAACCCCCAACACCCTCAAAAACAAGTTTTATCCTCAAAGTGCACCTATTTTCTTTTCAGTGTGGTCCTAATATTTCTTTGTGCGCGTCAGGGGGAAAATATTGCACTACTCAAGAGGTCTCATTTGACAAATGAGCAAAGCTTCGCTGGTCACAAACACTTGCGATGTCCTTTTTAGAGGAGGAACTGGGCAACGCGGTGAACAAGCCGTGACCACGTTCGCTTCACACTTCTCGGTTTCGGGGGTTCGAATGTCAAGTTATTCCCAGGTAACATGCCGGTTCCCCCGACGACTCGAAATTGTCTTTGAGGTGCGAATGTGAGTGCGTGGTCGATGTGCTCCGAGTCGGCTGGGATCGGCTCCGACGAAGGATGGACAAGTAAAGAAAATGGATGGAAACGTGCGAGTGAATTGGTGGCGTGTCAGATTGTGTTTGCTTCATGTAGTGAAGTGGCGCACGCCATCTTTTGCCGCTTGCTTCAGCTACTGCGACATCCAACTTGTGCTCAATAACAACTTGGACCCATGGGTGTGTTTTTAAAAAAACAAAAAAACTACAACAAAAAATTTGGTGGCCACATTTCCTCCCTTTTAGGAAGATTGTGCATCTATTTGAAGGGATATTTCACCCTCCATGAAAAAAAACAAACAAAAAACCCCCTGCCAAATAAGGTCTTTCGTGTTTTTTTTAAAAGCCTATTTACAACTTCACATATTTGTGTTTTGACCTTTTTTCAAATATTTCCTGAAAAACTCACGTACAAGCGTCTCTGCATATTTTTGTGCTCTCTGCAACAGGCTTCAAGATGTTCCCAAAGCCTATTTGGAATGTAATAATGACCATCAAGGAAGTATGTGCACGCGATACATCTCGACTGAGAGAGAATGACATCTTTGCATGGAGAGGAGGGGCTAACTTTCACCAGGGTTGTTAGCGGAGAGTCTTCACCGGTGTCTCAGCCATTTATTGTCATTTCTAAGGGACAAGTCGTAAGAAGGGTTTGAATTTGAAACGGTTTCAGGATTTTACTTTTTGGCTTATTAGTGATTTGAAACTCTTATAGGATTATAATATTCATAAAACCTGAAAATAGTTGGTGCTTATTCTGTAGTAAGTTAAAAATTATAAATATATATATTTTTAAAAAGTTGCTTTTGATCACGCACGTTTTTCCTCAAACAGTGGTCTTCGGCCGGAAACGGTTATTAGCACAAAAAAAAAAATGCAGCTGAGATCAACATTTTTTTTTTTTTTTTTG